ATGTATTAACGGTCTGGTTGTATGAGTATGTATTAACGGTCTGGTTGTGTGGCTTAATATTTAGAAAAAAAGAAGTGGTGGAAGTATGAGTTCTAATCTTGGCGACGATGTTTTGGCTGCTCTTATCGTTTTTATATTGTTCCAATGTGTACAGATGTGGTATATGATAGAAAGGTTATGATGTGACAGAAAAACTGTCATATAATAACCTCTGAGTATTACATGTCTGGTAATATGAGTATATAGTACACATCTGGTTAGTCTGGTTGTGTGGCTTATCATTTAGAAAAAAAAAGAAAATATCCAAATATCATTTCAAGAATGAGAAAAGTTTATTGTAGAACAGAAGCCTTCATATCCAATTCTGGATGTAAAGACGAGAGACATCCCATTATTTGTAACTGCTGGCTGACATTTACTTTCAGCCAAAGCAATAGTTGTTTGTTTTTTTGTTTTTTTGTTTGTTTTTTATTCATTCAAAATCAGCAGATAGAAATATACAAAGTGCATGATGGAACAGGACATGTACACAATAAAACAGAAATTCATATGGGTTGGCATTACACATAGTGGAATCTTCATTAAGCTGGGGGGCGGTGGGGTAGCCTAGTGGTTAAAGCGTTCGCTCGTCACGCCGAAGACCCGGGTTCGATTCCCCACATGGGTACAATGTGTGAAGCCCATTTCTGGTGTCCCCCGCAGTGTTATTGCTGGAATATTGCTAAGAGCGGCGTAAAAACCATACTCACTCACTCATTAAGCTCGGAATGTGTGCAGTAGAGAGCCAAAGCAATAGTTAGTCCTGGTAAGAAAAACACTTCCATCCATCACTGATATATATTCTTAATTTACTTACCGGTTTGAGATTCAGTGGTTTGGTCCATTTCTGCCAGTAACCTGAGAGGAATATCATGAGGAGGTAGAGGCAAAATAGAGGAAATGATTCCAAGTTAATAACATAGCGAAGTCTCATCAGAAACCTGACCGTGTCCATCTTGCCTTCTATGACATATAATGCAACCTGATTCACTTGGCCAGAGTTGGGACACGAGGTGTTGTGCTGATGAAATGACTGGCTTATACACTTTTACTGCAGCCAGTTCCCCACTACACTGCGTCTGCTACCACCAATCAAAATCAACAGAGGTGCAATGTTACACATGACGCAAGTTACCTATCTTCAAACATTTTCACTGTCACAAAAGCTCGCCATTACGCAACATCTGCTACCACCAATTATAACAAAAACCAAAAACTTCATCACGATACAGTTTTGAAGATGGTAACACAGTCCATTAATTATCAATGTCCCACTTATTGTTTTTTTTATTTATTCATGTAGCCATGTAATGGGTGCATAATGTCAAACAAAATGAAAATATATTGTTTTATTACAAATACAGGGACTGTGTATGTGTGCTAATGTGGTTCGTTTAGGGTCATTTAACAGACAGGGTGGATATATGAGCAGTTATAACTGGCTATATAGACTGCACTGCACACGTGATATTGCGCAGTCTCCTCCTGGTTATTGACTTTTACAAACACATGCTATTACTGACATGAACTGCCTGCACCAAGGCCCGGCACCTGCAAAGCCAAACACATCAGCTGATAAACCCCCATGTCCATCTGCTCACAACATGTATTCAAAACCTATGTCAAACCTGGCAATCGATATAGATTCATGAACTAAATATTTATCTATTATCATTTAATGTGGGAGAAGTAACTTTGAGAAAAAAGTCTGAAAGAACATATGTCTCAACCTGAAGAATGGCAAGGGGGGTCTCGTATTTTATGGAGGGGGGAGGGAGGGAGAGAAGAGGATCACATTGTACGTGCTTCTCCATGACCAACGGCTGCAGTATCGAGGAAGAGGAAATATTGGATGATGGTTCAAAGTAGGACCTTTTAAAACAAACGGCAGAGATGACGGTAGAGGTATTCATGCAAGCATCGTAGAAGAGGGAGAATGAACAAACTGATCTCAATCCTGAGGGAACATTATCCCCCGTAACGCGCTTTGCGGGGGGTCATTACTTTGGACTCCGTCCGTCCGTGCTCATTCAACATAAAAACCGTTTCAAATTTCTTCACCAGACTTTGCACTTAGATAGGTCTGGTAGTGAACTGGTGCCTTTGGTAGTTTTGGATTTCTGAATACAATATTTTTGGGTTTTCATGACAACAAGTTTAAATTGGTGGTAGGGCTCTTTTCCGGAGGAGAACCCTAAAACCGTTCTATATTGATTCACCAAACTTGGCATATCGGGATCAACTAAAGAGTAGGGTTCGCCAAACTCCTCATGACTACTCCTTTTGAAGCAACTGACGGGATGGGTGTGGAAGGGTCGGACGCTGTGTTAGATGGACCCAGGGGGCACCTGTCATGTGGACAGTGGTCATGAGGGCTGGGGGAAACAACAGACAGATAACTACTTTTGATTCACTGGGGGTACGTTCTTGGTAATTTTGTGCGTCTCTCCGGATGCAGTATTTTTGGTCCATTCTCTACATTTGTGCGTGACGTAACATCAGTTGAAAAGAGCGTGAAACGACGTTAATATGTTTATAATAGTGGAATACCAAAATCTGGTCATAAAAATGATATACATGTAATTGTAAATACTAATGTAACTGACTATTCAAGTAAACATTTGCGGTTCTCAAATGTCAGGGTAATTTGAAGAAGTCAATTTGCACTTATCAGACATAATTTCCTCTTTATAAACTTTTAAACCATGTTTAGAAATATACATTTGGAAATATAACAATCAGCAGAGAATCGTTGACTAGAAGATGTTTTCAACAAAATATTCTTGTGTGTCTTCTCAGAAGCATTTTTCAAATAGGTTCAGTTCTTATTAAAACAGCAATGTGGGAATGCTTCTGGGACGCATATTACTATTACTTATTGTTCTTGTTGGAAGTAGTTCTGGTCTTAAAAACAGCATTGTGTAATCCTTGTAAAGGATGACTGCTGATTAACATTAACTAAACATTTCATAATCAATACACTTTCCGTGATATTCATATTCCCTTCCTCCTTCATGTCGATTGAGTGATCAATGTTTGCTCAAATGGTCAAGCAGAAAGCTATGACATTGGAGGTTGATTTTGATATGATAGATACAGCCGTGGGAACAATCAGAATGCAGGAATGCAGAATGCAGGATACAGTTAAACATACATTCAAAAATGTCTGTATCAGTTGAATAAAAATGCAGAATTTCTCTGTATTAATTGAGACAGAACCAAAAGGTGATTTTATTAGTAGCAATGGAATGTGTCACACTTGATCAAACTTATCAACAACAGCTGCAAACTAATACTCTTAGTTATATTCTATAAACATCTCCTTGGTGTCGCTGACAGAAACTTATGGAGTCATGTCACATTCAATACAGAAACATATTGCAATCCTAGGGTGCTAATATACTACCGGGAAAATGTAACTGTGCATAAGATAAAATCTGCGGAAAATAAAAGTTACTTGAAATTTTATAAAAATATACAAGTAGCATAGCACTTAGTCTGTCATACAGACCCTGAAGTAAATATATCCAAGAAATCCCACGCAAGTCTAGAAAATGTGGCAAGGCTAGATTTCCACAGCTTCAGGAATGAGAAAAGTCTCAGGGCTCCTTTTCATTATATTTTTTTTTTTCACTTTGAGCTTTTTTTCTGCAAAATATGTTCATTTCAGAGACTAGTTGTTAGTCTACAAAGCACCTTGCATGAAATTTCAAGTCGCGTGTCGCGTGTGGCACATGCACTTTATACGACAAACTTACTCACGTTTTGCATGCTTTTTGACACCTGAAGTTAACACGCCTGATATTGAAAATATAAGAACGGTTGATTATTCTCTAGCCTCTGAATGTTGTGGAAAACATGTTAATTTCAAACTAAAATGTGTGTTCGTCATGCCACGGCTTACAGAAAATCAGTGTCTCCGCGCCGTGGGCATGTTGGAGACTGGAATGGCCAAAAATGCACTGGTCAGACATCTTGGTGTCCATCGAAACACAATCTCATCTCTACGGAGACGTTTTCAATATAATGGGAATGGGAACACGAGAGATTTGCCTTGGACCGGCTGTCCACGCCTGACGTCACATCAGCAAGACAACCACATTCGGCTGACTCATCTAAGGAATCGATTCCAGACTGCCACTTCGACTGCTCGGAACATTCCTGGCTTACGTCCAGTCAGTTTCAGGACTGTACGGAACCGGCTGATGAAGCACAACATCCGGTCCCGACGGCCTGAAATCCATCCAATTTTGCTCCAACGTCACCGACAGGTACGTCTTGACAGGTCCAGACAGCATCTACGGTACAGCAGACAAGATTGGGATGGTGTTCTGTTCTCTGGCGAGTAGAGATTTCATCTGAACAGCTCTGATGGCAGGGCAAGGGTGTACAGACGACAAGGTGAACGGTATGTTGACGCGTACGTTGTTCAACGTAGACAGTTTTGTGGCGAAAGCGTTATGGTATGGGCAGCCATCACATCTCATGGTCCGACACAACGTGTCATTGTCAATGGCAATCTGGCAGCTCTGACACTTGGATTGGACCATTGGGCCTCATATGCAGCCGTTCATTCAGGGACAGAGACGTAACTTCGCACTTCAGCAAGATCATGCCCGTCCAAATATCGCTCGTGTTTAGACAGATTTCAATCTGTCCTCATTGATTGATTGTATATACATGTACATCTCTGGTTTCCTGTAAATCTAACTGTATCATTGGGTTTTTTTTTTTATGACTGCTTATCACAAATATCTTCAAGGATGGAAAAGAAGTGTAAAAAAGGTCTGTGTAAATCGATGTGATATACAAGCACTCATATATATTGAGAATACTTTTAAAGATGAGCAAAAGCCCACTTTTCTTTCATACAGTTCACATTTATTAACAACAGCTTTTTTACAGTTTGTTCATTTATTTAATCCCACACTCAACAATATTCCAGCTATATGATGTTGGTCTATAAATAATTGAGTCTGGACCAGACAAGCCTATGATTGACGTCATCAGCATCAATCTACATACTAGTTAACTGGAGCCACTGACGATAGTGCACTTGAATAGGATCACTGATGTATCCCTTTCCTGAGACCTAGAAATAGTAGACATCAACAAGCTTCTCATATACTCTTGCACACACAGTGTAAGGAAATCCAAACTGCTATTTTAAAACTGAATAAAGATATGATCCAGTGTGATAAAGGAAAACTGATTTGTATGGATAGTCAACTTCTTTATTGCAATGAGTGCGACGTTTCGGTGTAGGTACTAACACCGTTATCAAGCAAGTGATACAACAACTGAAGCAAGGAGAATATATACATAGCTGTATAGTGAGTATATACAATTAACAAGGTTGATGTACATTGGATATTTGATAAGTGATTACAGCAGAGGAGGTTGATGTACAGAGTCATTGATTGTGATTAGAGTTGAGTTTATACACTTGATGAGTTGACGTACAATAGTTGTGATTACAAGCCCAGTGTGATAAAAACAAATTTCAGTCTTCGCTTGCATGAACGGCTGGGCGGTCTGGTAGCCTAATGGTTAAATTGTTCGCTCATCAAACAGAAGACCCGGGTTCGATTCCCGACATGGGTACAATGTGTGAAGCCAATTTCCGGTGTCCCCCGCCGTGATAATGCTGTAATATTGCTAGAAGCAGCGTAAAACCATACTCACTCACTTACTCCAAGAATGGCACCATAAATTAAACTGTGCCCTTTATACCAGATCTACATAATGAGCATCATTATGAAACACTGATCAGAACGTTCTTCCTGAGAGTGGAAAATCTGCATCAGTTTGTGGTGATTAAAGTCGTAAATCTTGAATCCAACTTACAACTTATGGTATATCAATGAATGCTGATATATTTCCGACACATTGCCTTCATCAAACATAATCTGAACCTGTTGTCAGAACTATATCTAGATGTTACAATCTAAATCTGCGAAGAAACATGCTGTTAAAATACTTTAAATGCGAAAACACTACATTCCATTCGGGACAATTGAAAATGGTGAGTATCTGCTTTACTTTTATCTCTGGCAGCACTATTAGCAGACACAGATCAGTTTGACTTGATCTTGTCTTCAGGTTGTTTTCGCTTTCGAACATAAACCTGATAATAAAAGTTAGAAAATAGAGTAGCCATGGTTATTAGATAAAAAGGACTATACACACAAAACTCATAGTACACAACTCCATAAAATGCTACTACAAAATCAATAAGAAATTGAATTATCTGCATCTGTGTAAGTTGCTTCCTCCATTGAGGAGGGTTGTTCGGTACCATGGCAGTGAGACCATAGTAGAGGTACAGAACCACATGAACCAGAGAGTTGAGGGATTGGAAAAAGGCAAGGCATGGAAAAGGGAAATATAAGTAGGAGGTGTTAGTGAGTAGCAGCATACTGGAGTGGTGGTAGACGTGGAGGAAGGAGATCTGGCGCCGACGATGTCGGAGGACCATGAACACGGTGTCCAGGAGTTCAATGATCTTGGTTATGTAGTAGACCCAGAAGACAAAGGTCAGCTCTTCTGTTACTTCCTTGGAGTAAAGATGGCCGCTTTGTAGACCCCACGGCAGAAGCCGTAGAAGGTGTAGATGCTGGTCACACAGCAGATGAAGTTGTGGACGACCAGCAGCTGGTGAAGGCAACATTATAACTATTTGAGAGTGACATATATCAAATATATAGGAATATTGCTAATGGATATATAGGCATATGATGATCTTAGTTAAAAAGAGATTCACAAAGAAATAGCTCTAGTCTTAAGATCATGTTGGACAGGATCTGTGTATAAGAAAATATTACAACTCTGATTCCATGAGCATGAATTCAACATCTGGTTGTATGAGTATGTATTAACGGTCTGGTTGTATGAGTATGTATTAACGGTCTGGTTGTATGAGTATGTATTAACGGTCTGGTTGTATGAGTATGTATTAACGGTCTGGTTGTGTGGCTTAATATTTAGAAAAAAGAAGTGGTGGAAGTATGAGTTCTAATCTTGGCGACGATGTTTTGGCTGCTCTTATCGTTTTTATATTGTTCCAATGTGTACAGATGTGGTATATGATAGAAAGGTTATGATGTGACAGAAAAACTGTCATATAATAACCTCTGAGTATTACATGTCTGGTAATATGAGTATATAGTACACATCTGGTTAGTCTGGTTGTGTGGCTTATCATTTAGAAAAAAAAAGAAAATATCCAAATATCATTTCAAGAATGAGAAAAGTTTATTGTAGAACAGAAGCCTTCATATCCAATTCTGGATGTAAAGACGAGAGACATCCCATTATTTGTAACTGCTGGCTGACATTTACTTTCAGCCAAAGCAATAGTTGTTTGTTTTTTTGTTTTTTTGTTTGTTTTTTATTCATTCAAAATCAGCAGATAGAAATATACAAAGTGCATGATGGAACAGGACATGTACACAATAAAACAGAAATTCATATGGGTTGGCATTACACATAGTGGAATCTTCATTAAGCTGGGGGGCGGTGGGGTAGCCTAGTGGTTAAAGCGTTCGCTCGTCACGCCGAAGACCCGGGTTCGATTCCCCACATGGGTACAATGTGTGAAGCCCATTTCTGGTGTCCCCCGCAGTGTTATTGCTGGAATATTGCTAAGAGCGGCGTAAAAACCATACTCACTCACTCATTAAGCTCGGAATGTGTGCAGTAGAGAGCCAAAGCAATAGTTAGTCCTGGTAAGAAAAACACTTCCATCCATCACTGATATATATTCTTAATTTACTTACCGGTTTGAGATTCAGTGGTTTGGTCCATTTCTGCCAGTAACCTGAGAGGAATATCATGAGGAGGTAGAGGCAAAATAGAGGAAATGATTCCAAGTTAATAACATAGCGAAGTCTCATCAGAAACCTGACCGTGTCCATCTTGCCTTCTATGACATATAATGCAACCTGATTCACTTGGCCAGAGTTGGGACACGAGGTGTTGTGCTGATGAAATGACTGGCTTATACACTTTTACTGCAGCCAGTTCCCCACTACACTGCGTCTGCTACCACCAATCAAAATCAACAGAGGTGCAATGTTACACATGACGCAAGTTACCTATCTTCAAACATTTTCACTGTCACAAAAGCTCGCTATTACGCAACATCTGCTACCACCAATTATAACAAAAACCAAAAACTTCATCACGATACAGTTTTGAAGATGGTAACACAGTCCATTAATTATCAATGTCCCACTTATTGTTTTTATTTATTCATGTAGCCATGTAATGGGTGCATAATGTCAAACAAAATGAAAATATATTGTTTTATTACAAATACAGGGACTGTGTATGTGTGCTAATGTGGTTCGTTTAGGGTCATTTAACAGACAGGGTGGATATATGAGCAGTTATAACTGGCTTAATAGACTGCACTGCACACGTGATATTGCGCAGTCTCCTCCTGGTTAATGACTTTTACAAACACATGCTATTACTGCCTGCACCAAGGCCCGGCACCTGCAAAGCCAAAACACAGCTGATAAACCCCCATGTCCATCTGCTCACAACATGTATTCAAAACCTATGTCAAACCTGGCAATCGATATAGATTCATGAACTAAATATTTATCTATTATCATTTAATGTGGGAGAAGTAACTTTGAGAAAAAAGTCTGAAAGAACATATGTCTCAACCTGAAGAATGGCAAGGGGGGTCTCGTATTTTATGGAGGGGGGAGGGAGGGAGAGAAGAGGATCACATTGTACGTGCTTCTCCATGACCAACGGCTGCAGTATCGAGGAAGAGGAAATATTGGATGATGGTTCAAAGTAGGACCTTTTAAAACAAACGGCAGAGATGACGGTAGAGGTATTCATGCAAGCATCGTAGAAGAGGAAGAATGAACAAACTGATCTCAATCCTGAGGGAACATTATCCCCGTAACGCGCTTTGCGGGGGTCATTACTTTGGACTCCGTCCGTCCGTGCTCATTCAACATAAAAACCGTTTCAAATTTCTTCACCAGACTTTGCACTTAGATAGGTCTGGTAGTGAACTGGTGCCTTTGGTAGTTTTGGATTTCTGAATACAATATTTTTGGGTTTTCATGACAACAAGTTTAAATTGGTGGTAGGGCTCTTTTCCGGAGGAGAACCCTAAAACCGTTCTATATTGATTCACCAAACTTGGCTTATCGGGATCAACTAAAGAGTAGGGTTCGCCAAACTCCTCATGACTACTCCTTTTGAAGCAACTGACGGGATGGGTGTGGAAGGGTTGGACGCTGTGTTAGATGGACCCAGGGGGCACCTGTCATGTGGACAGTGGTCATGAGGGCTGGGGGAAACAACAGACAGATAACTACTTTTGATTCACTGGGGGTACGTTCTTGGTAATTTTGTGCGTCTCTCCGGATGCAGTATTTTTGGTCCATTCTCTACATTTGTGCGTGACGTAAAACCCTGAAACACATCCTCCATCCTGGCGGACGGGCGTCTTAAAAATGCTACGAGAGAAAACGTAACGGTATTATTTTGCGGTTAAACAGGTTTTAAGATAACAAACGTATTAATAACAGCAAAAGAGCATCTCAGATGGATCTAGTTTGTTAGGGGAACCATCCAATACCCACATTCCCCGCGTCTTGTCGTGTAGTGCTCGTGCATGGTCTGAACCATTGGTTGCGTCCATGCGTTGCGTTGGGGGTATTTCCCCCATCACCTGCAATGTTTCACTTTACATTGTTTTAAAGTCGTTTTCTATTTCAATGTGACATGGGTATACACAACGCTGTCAGCATACTCGGACCTATCGATGCTTGTTGAAATATGTTTATGTTTGATCCCTGCATATACTTAATGTCAATCAGTGGATTGTCTGGTCCAGACTTGATTACTTACAGACCGCCCGGCGTTGTGTAGCTGGAATATTGCTGAGCGGCGTTGAACAACAAACAAATAACCTCAATATACTTAAAGTCATTTAGTAAAGACACTTGACATATTTTGAACCTACGCTCTACTAAACTAAACCAAAACCATTTCATTTTATGTCTGGACAAGGTGTATTCTTTAACTTCATCAGTCTGTTGTGACGTCATCCCAAGTAGTACATCCGACATCAGGTTAAGATGATATGAAATAACCACAGAATCAGCGATCTAACCTACTCGGCAACATAGGCTTTTTTCAGTTTCTAAAACTTAGTGATTCGGTATGTCACTCTCTGAATGTGAGTTTGAATCCCGAAAATCACTGGATTTTGTTCTTTACAAAGAATGTTTAATCTCAAATATGACAGATGTTACATCTCAATTTCCTAAAGGTATTATGTATCCATAGATATTATGGGACCTGTGAAGGTCCGGGTTAGAATGTGCCTTCAGTAACCCATGCTTGTGGTAAGAGGCCACGGGATCGGATCGGGTGGTCAGGCTCACTGACTTGGTTGACACATGTCATCGGTTCCTAATTGCACTGATCGATGCTCATGTTGTTGATCACTGGATTGTCTGGTCGAGACTCAATTATTTACAGACCTCCGCCATATAGCTGGAATATTGCTGAGTGCGGCGCAAAACTAAACTCACTCACTCACTCATAGATATGGACAATGTTCCCAGCTGTCTGGATACCATGACAAGCACTCTACAATTTCACTGCATTCTGATCACCCTTGTCACCTCACATTTCTTCAACTTGACTGCGGTGGGGTTACCTAGTGGTTAAAGTAGTGGTTCGCTCATCACGCTGAAGACCCGGGTTCGATTCCCCACATGGGTACAATGCGTGAAGCCCATTTCTGGTATCCCCTGCCGTGATATTGCTGGAATATTGCTAAAAGCAGCGTTAAACCATACCCACTCGCTTACTCAACTTAACTCATCATGTTTACAGTTTGTGAGTCACTTGGCAATTCAGTCGACCCATGAATATCCACTTTAGAATTGGTCTTCAGCAACCCATGCTTGGCATAACGGGATCGGATGATCAGGTTCGCTGACTTGGTTGACACATGTCATCGGATCTCAGTCCGGTACATCGATGCTCCTGATGTTGATCACTAGATTGTCTGGTTCAGACTTGATTATTTACAGACCTCCCTCATATAGCTGGAATATGCTGAGTGTGGCGTTAAATAAACACAACAAATGTTACATCTCCCATCATTGCAGGTTCTGTAATCTCACCTCATGGAAGAAAAGAAGACTTTTGTATCAAAGGATTAACCCATAATACCTTGATTGATTAATTAGGTTTCATTTAGCAGCGTTCAACCAAGTATAATCACTTCCAAAATGTAAACACGATAGGATTATCTCCATTCTACCATTACATATGCACCATGAATAAAACATGTTTGAAATATGCACTCATTATCCTTGCGTAGTGTTTTGGCACTACGCGCAGTTAACCGGCTCTCAGAAGTGGTTATTGAAAATTTTTCACTTCTAATTTTGTAGCAACAGCCAATCAAAAAACGAACATACTTAAATGTCATGGTAGAATGACTAATATCTTCTGTCAGCGGATTTGTAGGTCTACTAGAGAAGACGGAATGCTCTTAAAATGTGGGCGTGAGGTGCCTAAGTAAACCTAACATAACTGTTCAAAGGAATAGACTATATAGCACCTACATCGATTGCTCCTTGGTCAAGGTCAGCACAGATAACATGCCCTGCAGGTCACTATGCAGAGTTCCTAGGAAGACAGAATACTATGATCGTTGCTATGAATCCCGGACTGCCCCAAGTATGTTTGGCAGGATTGTCAGTATCATACCATGTTCCTGGCTTTCCGCACAGTGGTCAATGTCATGGGCCTTTCAAATTCCTGGAACCCCCTGAACCACCCTTTCAAATTCCTGGATCCGCCCATGACATTGACATTGAGGTCTGTAAATAATCAAGTCTGAACCAGACAATCTAGTGATCAACATCAGGAGCATCGATGTACCGGATTGAGATCCGATGACATGTGTCAACCAAGTCATTGGCTCTGCCAACGCTAAAAAAACCTTCAATGTGGTCTTAAGTCATTTTCAAAAAGGGGGTGGGGGGTGTTTAGAACCCCCTGAACCCCCCCTCTGAATCCGCCAATGAATGTCTGAGACCTGCATGAGTTCAATCTTTCCTCCCTAAGTTAGCCAATATTGTTAAAAGCAGCCTACAACATAACTGATTAACTCCCCATTTTCTGCTGGTGTGAGTGTCTCCTGTGTATTCAAGACACACAAGGGCTATACAATAAGGGTTAACTTTTCCATCCTGTATTCAGGAAGGATGTTTTATGGATAGACAGCTTCTTTATTGCAGTAGATAACACCCTTATCAAGCATGTTATACACAACATTATGGACAAAGAGAATTTATGAACGAAGGATATTTGAGTTTATACAATTAACGAGGTTGAAATACAGTGTGATGACATTACTAAAGTTGTGACTATAGGTGAGGTGAGGTGAAATTAGGTTTGACGTCGTGCTGGAGAATATTTCGCTCATATGACGACGTGCATGCGTGTGTATGTGTATGTGCGGCTGCTTGTACTAGCCCAGACTCAAGCTCGTTTTATAGTGCTAGCCCACTGAGAGACCATGCCGCAGTGAAGCATGAATACCCCACTCAGACACAGTATACTGACTCCGAGCCAACCAGTCCTTGTTGTACCCATTAATGCCGAGCGCCAAGCAGGGACCAACAAGTACCATATTTTAACGTCTTTTTGGTATGACGCGGTCGGGGATCAAACCCGCGACCTTCCGCTCTCCGGGCGGACGCTCTAACCACTACACCACGGAGGCGGTCTTGTGACTATAGATAATGGTTATGAATCCAGATGGGCAAAGAGTAGGGGCCTGCTTAATGTCTACACTGAAACGTTGCATCCTTTTTTAACGATAAAGAAGTTCTCTATCCACAAAAATTGTTCCTGTCGTAATGTTACGACCTATTGTAACTCCATACTTTATCATAGGCTTATGAATGGTATAGTATTACAAACGTGGATTAGACCCAAGGAAAGTTCAATATCCAAAGTGGAGAATCATATTTGATAACACATATACTAGTATATGTTATCAAGACCAATAACAGAAAGCAACAGTCACTGCAGTTGATCTTTTATTTTAAAAATATATCATGAAAAGATTGGAATACAAATACAACAGACCAAAATTGTCCAGATATAATAAAATATTTGGAAAATATATTTGTCCAAATACATTTTAGACACATGGATGATTCTAATACAAGATGAGCAAATAACAATTTCTAACTGTATATGGTACTGAGTATTTAACGGTACACATCAAGATCCACACATATATCATGACTAAATAGAATATGCTACACTTTCTTAAAAACAGTAATGTCTGATAAGTTTGTTCGTGTGAATCTTTGGTATTGCATGTGTGTGTGAAAGTTGTATCTTGTCAAAAAAACTTAATCCTTTCTTATATCTTTTCCTCAAAAGAGGGCAAAGATTTCCTTGGCTCCTTTCCCCACCTGTAACAGGAATTCAGCAATAAAATATCAAATACAAAAAAACGTCTGAAAAGTTCAGAGCCTGACTGTTTCTGGTGGCACTGAAGGAGTTGGTTGTAAATATTGTTCTATATCACACACCCCTCCACAGTCAACCTGTAATCAGTTGTCATCAACAAGATCAGAGGTTACTATAAATGCTAATAATGTATGTAACACTAAAGGTGTATACAAAATATACAAGAAGCATCATTCAAGACCAGACATTAAGTAGTTTAAACAACAGTCACGTAGAAAAGATATGGATGTATAAAAACAATAATGTGGTCCTTAGCCATTTCAAAAGGGGGACCCTTCCCCCCCTATCCACCAATGCACTGATATAAACTGATATACACATGCATGATGGTCGCTAAATATTAAACAAACACTAAATGTCTATTTGATGGTGATGGATTTGATATGGGGATCTTTGATGTATTTCATATGTAAAGTGTGTAGTCTTTCCGCTACTTTTTCCAGCAGTAACATATCTTATGTTATGTTTGGGATTACACTTTCTCAGAAAAGTACAGATTTTAGTAATTTTGTTTGGTTTAGTCCCATCCAGAATTCGAACCCACACCTTCATGTCGGGCACCTTTTTCGCCAGCACACAAAGTCGACGTCTAACCCACTCAGCCACCACTGCTTCCACAGGGAATCTGTACTTTACTGAGAAAGTGTAATCCCAAATATAACATATGTTACATTTGACAACTTTCTAAATGGCATTGTGTATTCATTTTTTGTCAGCAGAAAAGGTATATTCATAACACTTGTAATTTTGTAAGTCAAACACAATTGTCAAGCACAGTCTGTTTTATCAAGCAGTTTACTGGGGAACCATTACACCAGGATAGACATAGCAAACTCTGATCCCCCAGTGAAAGTCTAGATCAAGAAGGACTTTGTGCTTTAGCCTAGAGGCTACATTGGTCGGAGTTTTCTGATTTTGCTCACATCATGTATTCCACAAACTACTAAAGTCACAAATAAGCTGCCGATGTGCTTTATACGATCAATACTGCCCACCCTTCATAAACCTGTTATAAAATAATAATGGCATATAAATCAATACAAAATCACAATTCTTTGATATTGAGGCGGTAACATCAGAGAATCAAGTGGTGCTTAAACTTGTGGAGTAGTATATATACATTTCAGAGAATTTGTAAGATTTGTAAAACTGTTCTTAAATAGACAAGGACAGTTCAATGGAATGTTCACTGACATGTATGCATGCCTATCACTCTAAATTAATGGGACCACTCTTATTGCTCCTCTCTATGCATGCTTATCACTCTAAATTAGTGGGACCACTCTTACTGCTGCTCTCTATGCATGCCTATCACTCTAAATTAGTGGGACCACTCTTATTGCTGCTCTCTATGCATGCCTATCACTCTAAATTAGTGGGACCACTCTTATTGCTGCTCTCTATGCATGCCTATCACTCTAAATTTATGGGACCACTCTTATTGCTCCTCTCTATGCATGCTTATCACTCTAAATTAGTGGGACCACTCTTATTGCTCTCTATGCATGCTTATCTCTAAATTAGTGGGACCACTCTTATTGCTGCTCTCTATGCATGCCTATCACTCTAAATTAGTGGGACCACTCTTATTGCTGCTCTCTATGCATGCCTATCACTCTAAATTAGTGGGACCACTCTTATTGCTGCTCTCTATGCATGCCTATCACTCTAAATTAGTGGGACCACTCTTATTGCTGCTCTCTATGCATAACTGCTTATCACAAATATCTTCAAGGATGGAAAAGAAGCGTATAAAAGGTCTGTGTAAAATTGATGTGATATACAAGCACTCATATATACTGAGAATACTTTTAAAGATGAGCAAAAGCTCACATTTCTTTCATACAGTTCACATTTATTAACAACAGCGTTTGACAGTTTGTTCATTTATTTAATGCCACACTCAACAATATTCCAGCTATATGATGTTGGTCTATAAACAATGAGTCTGGACCAGACAATCCAATGATTGACGTCATCAGCATCAATCTACATACTAGTTAACTGGAGCCACTGACGATAGTGCACGGGAATAGGATCACTGATGTATCCCTTCCCTGAGACCTAGAAATAGTAGACATCAACAAGCTTCTCATATACTCTTGCACACACAGTGTAAGGAAATCCAAACTGCTTTTTTAAACTTGAAAATAACATGATCCAGTGTGATAAAAACAAATTTCAGTCTTCGATTGCAAGAATGGATGGGCGGTCTGGTAGCCTAATGGTTAAAGCATTCACTCATCACTCACTCACTCACTCACTCACTGACTGCAAGAATGGCACCATAAATTAAACTGTGCCCTTTATACCAGATCTACATAATGAGCATCATTATGAAACACTGATAATGTTCTTCCTGAGAGTGGAAAATCTCCTTCAGTTTGTGGTGATTAAAGTGGTAAATCTTGAATCCAACTTACAATATATGGTATTCATTGAGTGCTGATATATTTCCAACATCTGGCCTTTATCAAACATAATCTGAGCCTGCTGTTGTCAGAACTATATCTAGATGCTGTTTAAAATACTCTAAATGCTCGAAAACACTACATTCCATTCGGGACAATGAAAATTGGAGAGTATCTGCTTTACTTTTATCTCTGGCAGCACTATTAACGGACACACATCAGTTTGACTTGATCTTGTCTTCAGGTTGTTTTCGCTTTCGAACATAAGCCTGATAATAGAAGTTAGAAAATAGAGAAGTCATGGTTATTCCATAAAAAAGGCTATACAAACAAAAATTATGGTACACAAATCCATAAAATGCTACTACAAAATCAATAAGAAATTGAATTATCTGCATCTGTGTAAGTTGCTTCCTCCATTGAGGAGGGTTGTTCGGTACCATGGCAGTGAGACCATAGTAGAAGTACAGAACCACATGAACCAGAGAGTTGAGAGATAGGAATACCGCGATGCATGGATAGGGGAAATATAAGTGGCCAAGGTTACTGAGTAGCAGCATGCTGGAGTGGTGGTAGACATGGAGGAAGGAGATCTGGCGCCGACGATGTCGGAGGACCATGAACACGGTGTCCAGAAGTTCAATGATCTTGGTTATGTAGTAAACCCAGAAGACAAAGCGCAGCTCTTCTGTTATTTCTTTGGAGTAAAGATGGCCGCTTTTGTAGACCCCATGGATGAAGCCGTACAGGGTGTATGTGCTGGTCACACAGCAGATGAAGTTGTGAAGGATCAGCAGCTGTCGAAGCAACATTATAAGACTTCATAACTATTTGAGAGTGCCAAATATCAAATATATAGGAATACTGCTAATGAATATGTAGGCATATGATGATCTTAGTTGAAAAGAGATTCCATTGGACCATTTTGCACATACAATACTGGCTGTCGGCATATTGACCACCCGGGCCGAAAATGCATATCAGCCATATCAGCCCTAGGGCCGAAAATCCATATGAGCCGTATTGCCTGGCTACTAAACTAGTACGGAATGAATACACGCAAACGCTTGAACCTAGTTTATTTTAGAGTTATGTCCCTTGCGTCATCTGCTCAAGTTGCTGTCAAACAAGAAATGGTGGCAGTACGAGTTCTAATTTTGGCGATGATGTTTTGGCTGCTCGTTTTTTTTTAATGTTTCAATGTTTACAGATGTGGTATATGATAAAAAGGTTATGATATGACAGTTTCCCTTTCGCCAGTCATATAAGCCCGAGACTACCATATGAGGTAGGGCTGATATGGTAGTCTCGGGCTGATATGACTGGCAAAAAAGGAAACTGTCATGTAATAACCTCTGAGTATTACATGTCTGGTAGTATGAGTATATATTACACAACTGTTGTATGATTATGTATTAATAGTCTGGTTGTATGGCTTAATATTTAGAAAAAAAAAGAAGATATCCAAATATTATTTTAAGAATGAGAAAAGATTATTGTAGAACAAAAGCCTTCATTTCCAATTCTGAATGTGAAGAAGAGAGACATCCCATAATTTTGTTGCTGCAATAGTTAGTCCTGGTAAGAAAAACACTTCCATCCATCACTGATATATATTCTTAATTTACTTACCGGTTTGAGATTCAGTGGTTTGGTCCATTTCTGCCAGTAACCTGAGAAGAATATCATGAGGAGGTAGATGCAGAACAGAGGAAATGATTCCAAGTTAATAACATAGCGAAGTCCCATCAGAAACATGGCCGTGTCCATCTTGCCTGCTGTAACAAATAATACAACCTGAGATTCATGAATTATGGATAACAACTTCTCTTTATTCTTTATATAACCTTTCAGAGCTAATTGATCCTTCATAAGGTGAATCATCATCTATAGAAATAGCCACACAGTATCCAGTCAGTGAACCGTGCCCAGAACACAAATAGTTTCCACAATCTGTTGGGAGCAGAGACCATTTCTTTATGTATCCAGATTTATCTTAACATTGATACTTGGTTGTTATTTTCTGACAGACCATGACAGAGAGCATTGTTGATCTGACCATGATGACAGTATAAACTATAGTGTGTTTACTGCGAAATCATTCAGATGAAAGGCAAATAAATATTTGTGGAAACCACTATGATGATTTGTGTTCTGGGCATGGTTCACAGACTGTAGATATTATGTGTGGCTGTTTCTATAAAACAGGTACCCGGTATACATATTCCACAGCACCACATTTTATCTGCTACTTTTCAATTGTAGGCCTGTACCTGGTCAATCACTTTCAAAAGTATTCAATGGGTCCCTGAAGTAATGTCAACAGTCTGGTTCTGGCTTATCAATGATCCTCGTAATACTCAGCAGTTTTATAATATTTCCTGAGGGAGCATTGAGGACGGGACTTGACAAAGTTGTGGTATCCAAACGATGTTAGCAGGCCCAGTGTCTAAGGATTGTTGGTTTTGAAAATAATCTCAGCACTAAAACTGAATTTTATTTATAATAAAATATGATGAGGGTAAAGTATCCCTGTATGCTAGCTTTGTGACAAGTAGTGGAGATACTACCAACATTGGCAATACTTCATGTGTCTGTACACACTATCGTCCTTCATCAGAAGGGAAAGAGAGATAAGTGTTCTGACCAATGAAAACTGACAATATTTCTTGTGCAACATGTCTCAGCCTGGCAGACATCTACCCTACACATGTGTCAGTCTCAGGCTACAGCAAACAACATTACAACAAAGAAGATTGGACAAACATTTATTTAATGGCAAACAGATGCACAGAAAGTGTACAGCTAAGGTTAAGTTTCATTTTAAAATTACTCATAATATTTTAATGACCAAATACAAGTTATATTTAAAGAAATACAGTACAACCAGAAATTATTGAGAATTTAAAGATTGTAAACTTTTTATTTTTTTCACTCATTACTCACGTATTAAATGTGAATCTTAGCAGAACATAACTCCAGATCCAAAGACAGGTGAACAGTAAGTATTTTGTCACCATGAGCAGCAATGCAGGCTTCAATGCGGCGGGGCATACTACTGATCAAAGAAGTTAGAAAGTCGTGGTCCATGCTGTCCCAATATCGGACCACCTCTTCTTTCATTTCAGCAATATTTGTCAGATTTTTCTTATTGACACTTTCCTTCATAAGTCCCCAAACATTTTCTATTGGATTTAGGTCAGGGCTATAGCTCGGCCAATCTAATAATGTCATTTTTTTGGTCCGAAACCAGGCCTGTGAATGCTTTGAACGATGTTTTGGGTCGTTGTTGTGCTGGAAAATCAAAAAATTTCCATAGAACACGTGAGCAGATGGAAGTAAATGTCCCTCGAGAATATCTGTGTACCGCTCACTGTTCATATTCCCTTCAAATACAGAGAGGCGTTGCCCCTTACACAGATATGCCCCAACATTGGCAATACTTCATGTGTCTGTAAATCCTCCATCAGAAGGGAAGAGAGATAAGTGATTGTACTTCGGATTGTACTTTGAAGCTGATACAAAGGTTTTTCAGTTTGTTTGGTCCAGAATTTCAGTGTATTAGGAAACAGCCACACAGAACTTTCATCTGAGAAAATCACATTGTCCCAGTTACAATTTCTATGCTGTAAGAACCAGTTCAACCTTCGCTCCTTTTGTTCAGGTTTCATGATCGGTGATGGAATTCCTCAACTTTTCTGCCAACCCATTGCATGCAGCTCAGTTCTAATTGTCTCCTTACAGACAGCCACAGTTCCTCTATCAATCATATCCAGCCTTAAGTTTTCTAAACTCCTTCGTTTGTTTTTAGATACAAGAATACCAAGCCGCCTCCTGTCACCGACAGTCAATTTTCTGGGCCTACCTGCGCCTCCCTGGTGCTCAATGGCATATCCATTTGCAATATTTTTCAAAACACGATAAATAGTGGACAAAGGGATGCCTGTTCTACTTGAAATCACTTAAGCTGATCTGATGTCCTTGTTATAATACTCTAAAATCAACTTCCTCTTCTCTAAATCATCCATACTGAGGATCACTAAAAATGTCGTCTGCTAGCAAGTAAACAAAGGGGGATAACTGTTCACAAACTAATGAAAAAGGATTAACGAAGTTGTCTCTCTTGAATGAAACCTTGCACTTGATAGCTGTTCATGGTTGTTTATACTAGAAATCCAAATAAACATATTCCTAAAATTCTCAATAATTTCTGGTCATACTGTATACTGATTCTCCCTTGTACTCTTTCTGTGAATCCACTCCTGAAACAATAACACATTTATTATGTGAATGTCCATATACTGTTAGCATATGGAAGGAAGTACCCAGTTTGTTTGACCTGTTATCTGAAGGAAACATTAACTTCTCTCATGAAAATATTACATTTGGCTTGAAAGGCAAAAAAACAATGACCCACTTATGTCCTTTTTCTAATTGTTAAGTATACATTATATAAATAAGCTTAACAATATAAAGCCAAATTTTCAATATTTTCTGCGGGAAATACCAAATTACTATATAGCTACAAAATATATAGCCTTTTCAAATGCAAAGCCAACATAATTTTATACCTTTTGGTCCTCCTTTCATACACTACACGTGAAGATCAATTCTAACCTGATCTCCACGTGTAGTGTTAGAATTGATCTTCAGTAACCCATGTAAGAGGCGACTAAACGGGATTGGGTGGTCAGGCTCACTGCCTTAAATGACCCACATGTCATTGGTTCCCAATTGTGTAGATCGATGCTCGTGCTGTTGATCACTGGCTTGTCTGGTCCACATTTGATTATTTACAGACACAATATCATGGATCCTTGATGTATCTTTATAACAATACATACATACATACACACATACATACATACACACACACACACATACATACATACATACATACATACATACATACATACATACATACATACATACATACATACATACATACATACATACATACATACATACATACATACATACATACATACATACATACAAAACTAGACATTTAAAACAAAAATATATATATATATATACAGTGTCTCCTATCGTATACTGGCTATTCAGTTTAAATGATTCATGATCATTGTAACTGTGCATGATGTCTACATTGTAAAGAGTAACATGTGTATTTGTTGAAAAGTGTTGTATAACATGCTTGATAGAAAAATACACTGTAACATGCAATAATTGCATTTTTTCTTAAAATAATATGTACAACATGCAAAAAAACAAACCAACAAACAAACAAACCCAAAAAACAAAAAATACAGCAAGGTCTGACTAAATTGCAGTGAGGTAACTTATTGGTTAGACAGCTGTCAGGCTGAAGGGCCAGGTTGAGTCCATACATGGAGACATGGTGTGAAGCTGCTTCTGATGTCACATGTCATGATATTTATTACAAGTTTTGGATTTCAGAATAAAATATTTTTGCATTTCCATGGCAACAAGTTTGACTTGGACTGAAATTGGTGGTGGTGCTCTTTTCCGGAGCAGAACTTTTAACCCTTTTAATATTTCTTCACCAAACTTGGCACATAGATAGGTATGGTGATGTACTAATGTGCCTTTTGGTAGTTTTGGATTTCTGTATGAAATATTTTTGTGTTTCCATGGCAACATTGACTGAAATTGGCATTCGTAACTACTCGCCTCTTTCTGTGACCTACAAGAAGACTCGTACCTGTATAGTACGTCATTACTGCCAAGAGTTGTGGCAAACCAATCAAATCGCGCGTACTAAAACACATTTCGAAGCATGAAAATGGCAGCATTGTCAAAGTTTGAAATATCGCTAACTATGCAAAGCACAATTTAAACATAAACTTTGAGCTATAGGATCAGCAACTTTCAACACTGAAAAATATTTACAAAGGGAATGACTGTATTGCTGTTTTGCCCACGGGATATGGGATATTCTGGGAGTAGCCATGTTTGGAACTTCTGAATTATCTTTCCTTGGTAATAGTACTTGACTATTTTCATTTCCATGCCCGTTTGTGCTTAGACAGGGCCCAGTCATAAACATGGCCACGAGGGGGATATGAGGAGCCATCCGGCTTGCCGGAATGACACGAGTAGTTATGAATGTCAAATTGGTGGTAATGCTCTTCTCCAGTGCAGAACTTTATAATTTTTCAATACTCTCTTTCCACTTTGCAATAGAGTCACTGATTTGGTTGACACATATCACTGTGTCCCAATTGCGTAGATCGATGTTCATGCTGTTGATCACTGTATAGTCTGGGCCAGATTCGATTATTTACAGACCACTGCCATATAGCTGGAATATTGATGAGTGCGGTGTAAAACTAAACTCACTCACTCACTCACTGCTATATACACTCAAAAAATTTGACATAGTCATAACTAGTTGACATATTTATGAAGAGTATTTTGCTATTATGGGGGATATTGATGACTTTGTCTTCTTGTTGTCACTTTTAGTGATATTTCAGCAATATCATGACATTCTTCAATGGCATTTAGAAGTTGGTGTAGTAATACAAGACAAATCTTATGGATAACAACTTCTTCATTTGTTTACAAAGATGTTTCTGGACTAGTTCTTGTCCCTTCTTCCAGTGGATTCTTCTTCAGAAAGCGCAAATATTAGCCCAGAAACATTGTGGTAAACAAATAAAGAAGTTGTTATCCATAACATAGTCCATTATAATAACCCCAACACACACACACACACCCCACTCTTGCACTGTTCAGCTGCTGAATATACTTACAGTTGGGGGGGAATACAAACAGGTGGAATATTGACAAT